GCGTTTATGAGACACGAACATTACAAAATCTCTAATTAGGCGTTGCCCGGTGCGGCTGTGCATTATATATTAATACATATTGTTTGAACGTGCCGCAAAAAAGCACGAGTCTGGCCAGCGATGTTGTTGTTGTGTGTGTGTAACTGTACCGTTTAGATAATTAAAAGTATAGAAAGCCCATATTTGGACAGCGAATGTATACTCTTCGAGTTGAGATGCCAGCGACCTCGTATAAGCATATAAGATGGCCTTGATATAAACAGGACGTGTGGTAAAAGGCGGTAAGGCGTATGCTATAGAAGAAATGTCGGATTTTTTTTTATCATATACATTACGAATGAACACGTTCTGTGTGTTCATACAAAGTTTTGTATACTTTCATTCAGCAAGTATAAAAAATAAAAGTTAGTGAATTTTATCAAATCGACGGATTTCTCGAGAAGACTTCGCAACTAATTGTTACTCGTTCTAACATGGTATGCTATGAGTTCGTTAAGGGCGGCTTATCGATAGGTACGTTCCGTATGGAACTTTTGCTTTGAAAAAGAGGCACATCTGTTTAAATTGTAGCATAAAATGTAGGAAACTGTAACTTTGGATAGCACAAGTGGACTCTATATGGAAATAAAATGACGGAAGATTGTAGAACTAGAGCTAGCCGCGAGACGAACCACAGGTGTCAAGACCATCAAAAAAATTAGAGTCATTACCAGCAGCCACGCCCATCTGTTGGTGGTGGCATCCGGATGATAGGTTCAACCGTCAAGCGGGTCTGGTCATGTCAAACGCTGTTGACAAATACGGGCACCCCAGTCACAACGGCAGCAGACGCTGAATAAACGCCATCAGGCGTCTGCGATGACGGCTACAGCAACAAAAAATTTATTGAGCAGAGGATCATCCTAAAGGCACAGAAAAGCTGAGCTCAAACGTACCGGGGGGCGCGGCTTGTTTCGTTCGTCCGCTCAAACTCCGAGAGGTGCCCGCTGAAGGCTAGCAGGCAGCGTAATCATTGACACAACAACAACAACAATAATAACAATAAAAATAACTATTAAGGTCATGCGAAGTGTAAGTAAATGCGGTAATGCAAGAATACCAGTGAATCAAAAGTTCTGGCGCCCGAATCAACCTCCCGGATTTTTTTTTAACAGCGATGTTAAAGAAGTGCCAACTAGTCTGTCTCTATAGTGGCACGAAACCTTCTTCAAGCTCTGGGTTTGCGCTCGGAGTTCGTTCAGTACAGCGTAGAGTGAAATACGAGTATTTCAATACAGACATTGCACTACGGACGAAAAGGTCTCATAGAGCGAAAGGTTACTGCCACACTACGAAGACTCAGTGGGCGTTCTTACTGCGACTTTCGACACATGCGTTATGATTCTTCTATACTGTGCCGATTTATCGCAAGATACAAATTTGAGTAAGCCTTTTAGAAGAACTAGTAATCTGCACACAGTTAAGAGTTCTACGTGAATATGTAGCTATAATATATTAGATGCTAAAGCATCTAACGGACGGGCCTAAAGCCTTTAAGCATTATATCAAAATGACACAAGAAAAACACTATATATATCTATCTCTGCAAGGCATTTTTTCGGCAAGCCAAGGTAACATCGATTACATCGTAAATAAAAACGAACGAAATTGTTCTTGCAATACCTAGCGAAAGATGATTCTGACGTTGATCATTTTACATAGGATCCTTCAATAAAGCGGCGAGTAAAATTGTGACAGCAAAGTTGACGACGAATTGGAACTATATCGGATCCTATGGGTACTATGATGTAAAGGGAAGATTGCAGTGCGATGAAGATGATTTCAGTGTTCGTATAACTTGTTTTGCTGTTTCTTCTAGCAGAGAATACGTGAAGTTGTCTTGCTCGTGAGAGGAGTGTGAACTGATGTTAGCTGCGTAGTCGACAATCGCTGTAACTCGATGGTGAGTTTAATAGGCACTCGCGTAACGTCCTCTCGTTCGTACTTGTGATGAACGAAGCAATATTTTTTCGGAAGATACAGATTCTTTAGAGTTCTCTTCCCATTTCGAAAAGGTGCGCATCCGTTCAAGTAACGATCGTCTAGATGCATCACATGAGCAGCATGTCTCCATTTTTATGACAACGGAACAAAAATCCTTTGCCATGTAAGTTTTCTCGATAAAACGCAAAGTACGATAAAAGTGCTTTGTGTGATAAGATAGGGAACTTTACAAGGGTCAACGAACGAAAAGCCCGTATCGGCTGGTTTTTGCCTACATCGACAATGCTATTTAACACTCTGAACGTGTGTCACCCTAACTATAATCATCTCAATATCGTGGCATCTAATGGTTCTTATATACATGTCAGTTCCGGCGCTCAGATCCTTCCGTGGAGCAATTTTGTCTGTACAAACCGCTGAGAATGGACAAGACTGGCCACGGTGAGTATCCGCATGTGACCTTTGACCCTCAATATTCTTCTCTACACAGACATTACACTCGGAACCGTTCGAAGTGTGCCGTGTCACGATGCTGTGGCCGCCCCAGTTACTGTTAGCAAATAGCCGAAACATGTGATTAATTTTTTTTCCCCGCTGTCAACACAATTATGTTCAAAGTGTTGCTTTTGTTCGGCCCGTTAACGTAAGAGTTCGCTAACTGATTTGAATAAAACTAGCGTCCTAATCATATGTTCACAAGCTATACCATGTTTTAATGAACGCTATTGAACAAGATCGTTAACAGAAAATTTCAGATAAATCGAAACATGACTTCTCCTGAGCACCTTTCAGTCCCCGCAAGGAACTGTATTTTCATTTTCTTTAATACATCTTGCGCATTTGTTAGATGCTCGCGCCACCTTCTGGCCTACGGCGCTACGAATTTTTTTACTGTTGCCAGTGAGTTAAAGTCAGTCGGGGGAATCTCGGTAATTTGATGACCTTTAACCCGAATAGTTCTTCAGTAGAACGGCAACGAAGCTGCGTGCGATCATCTGCGGCCATTACTGGTTTGGGCGTCTTTCCTTACCCATCGGCCATCAGTCACATCGCACTCACCCATGTTATGATTTGGCAAGCAATACCGGTCGATTCTGACGCTGTCGTCTCCACGACTTCATGCGACGGACATTTGTCCATCGTTAGACCGTTCGAAAACCTCCATAGGCTAGCAGAAGCTAGAAACGTCTGGATCGCAACAGAGCACTTTGCAGTTGAATGCCGCTATCTGTTCGGAATTTGGTTGCGATCCTTTGATACCCAATAATGCACCAGTTTTTTAAAACGCTCACGACAATTTTAATATCTCTCAGAAACTGTTATTAAACATACCTGTACTATGTGTATATAACGTGTGATTCAGTTTTACACACGTGGACTTATATGCTCGCAAAAATAATATTGAACTATCTTTTAAGACCCATTTTGATCCTCGACTAAACGTTTTTGCTCGACAGAATCAAAGCTAATATTTTGCCTGATTAATCAGGCCCGTTGGTATACCGACTGAATACGCTTATTTTAGTTAATAGCTCATTATTGAGTGACATATTATTGTTATTTCGAATTAAAAAGTCTCACAGTAAATGCGACGAGCTGTCCAAATCATTAATGGTTCGAAAATACCAAAAGCAAGAGAGCCGATCTTCTATATTACATGGCCTAGGGGTCATACATGCCCTAAAATCGGGCGCAAATGGCTTACTTCAACATTAAGCAATGTGTTATAAGGTACATCAAGCTTGCCAATTCGCGATGTCTGATCTCTAGCACTTTCCCTGGAAGCAATTTGCTGTTAACAGCTTTGCTGGATTGATCATCTCATGATACAAAGGCGGTTTAATTTTCGTAATTGCATTCGTAAAAAGCTGAAGGAGCATCGATGTGCACGAAGATAACTGACAGCCATCAGAATGGGCCTTATCCAGGCTCTTGTTAATTTTCGGAGAAGTGCCAAAGTACAATACATCACGAACTCCCGTAACGTATTGAGCACTGAACAAAATTTTGCGAATCAGTAAGTTTTCGAAACAAATCAAATAAATTTGGATAACTCCTCGAAAGGAGGTACTGGCTTGATTTGAGCATATTGATTTATGCACTAAGAGGTATTTATAAAAGAGGCCCTGTTGAGGGTAGTTTTTAAAGTAATGTCAGATGCAGACTTCCAAAGTGACGTGCTTGTCTGCGTGGCTGTTTACTGATCGTAAAAAAACAGAAGACACAAAAAACAAAAGATGACATGATATCAGTTGAATTGTACATTGTTTCTAGTCACGACAAATGCGACCGGTCAGATATGAATTTTTAGCTCTAATGTGTTTTCAATCGAAGGTGCGCGAAACACTTAAATCGAAAACCATGAGCGGGGAAGGCAACATGTCGCTTTGTGCCGCCGACAGACGCGGAAACCTATGAAAAATCTCTGCTACTTCGGGGAGAATAAACGGAAGCAGTAGGGAGTCATCTTCATCGAGTCTTCCATCGAGTACGAAGACCCACCCGACGTCGAAAAACAATACACTTGAACCAGGTACAGGTAAAAAAAATGCATATGAAAGAAAATGTTTATGCTAGGTGAAAACTGTGTTCTGTATTAGGTACGGAAAAGCTCTGCGTCGTATGCTGTTATGCAAAATACAATCACTGGTATTAAACAAGTCACAAATATGCGCAACCCGTCATATAACTATTCAAATCCGACCCTTGGTTTAAGTCGTTAATGCACGCTAGGGGTTGTGTATGGCTATCTGAGAAACAGGACGTTCGTTAGAAAAACGACATCAATAAACATGGCCGCAACTAAAGCGTAGGAAAACGATATGTGTATAGGTCAATAGCAACGTATTCGGAATCATAAATGTATGCCCCAACATGTTTTACGTTATATCTATGATATTTAGTCAAAAAGGGCAAAGTAAAAATTATTGATATACACACATAACTCTGTTGGTTTATTTTCAGTTTATATATATATATATATATATATATATATATATATATATATATAGATTTTGTTTGAGTTTGAGTTTCCACTTTGTTACCACACCTTGTTAACAGTCACATCAGTCAACCAGCTAGACGACGATTAATAATAACAATGTGAGTTTTTGTCTTTTTATGAGAAACGAATTATATCTCCTGCTTTACTATACAGATTTGTCTCATCCAAGTAGTTATGCATACTGATGTTTATGGATATTTTCTCTTTTCATTGTATTGGCGTTCTTCTATTTAATCACTGTGGGCAGTGCGGCCATATTCTGCTAACGGCAACGCCGCAACACATGCGTCATATTTTTTCTGCTTTTTCTAATGTTTATACCTCGTTACATCTTCATATATCGGTGCGCGTGTTTTACTTCGCTGGATAAAATACAATGCTCGGAGTAATTATGTCATGGTCATTCCGCGGTCGATATCGATAATGAGCCCTAAGAAGCCAGCTGCGTTTCACGTATGTTTATCGCTTAGATTTGTTTATTTCATGACTAAAGCTGCAAAGTACAGAACCTAAATTTTCGCATTTCAAGAAGGTAGACCTATCGGCTTCACAAATATGTGTATGCATATTGATTTACGAAACACGTTCAGGATAAACTGCGAGAACTTTTGAACAAGTTACAAACGCATTAACAGTAGGCTGTAACTTTAATTCTGATAAAGGCTGTTTCTGAAATTAGGGCATAGGATTAATTCTTCAAGCCTTTTTCGGCTATTTGTATCTCTGGGCTTAGCGTACACCAAACATTTCGATCAGCTGGATTTGGTCAGTATTTTTTTAATACAAGCTTCATTTAGGCGAGAGCTCTAAACGTGCGAATATCACTTCATTCACTGGTACTATTATAAGTAAGTTGTTCGCAAAGTTAAGGAACTAGTTTTTGCAAACTGCCCGCAAGTAAACTCGATGATCAGCAACTTTAAATCGCATATATCGTTGGTTTATCCACACAAAGCACCTAATCTAGAACTGAAGTTAATAGAATCCCAATGTATCCCAAATACCCCACATATATATATATCAAGCCAGACTTCGTGCTTCTCGGCAGTTTACTTACTTCGCCCGGGGGCTGCCCGCGTCTCAGTTAGCCACTTAGTCTTATAATTTCATTCATTCCCACACCGATATGATCTAATCTTGATTTACGTTTTTCGGTATGTGGTAACTTATCGTATGCTTTTTGTGTGTATGTTTGTGTGCTCACGAAACGAAGCGCTCGAATCCACGCATGTTGCGTTTGTTAATGATGAAAATGCCAAAATAATGTGCAACAAACGATTTTTCAATCATCATCACCTGTTTCTATTCGTTACTTAACTTTTGAATTCACTAGGAGAGTACACCGCAACGATGTACTTTTCTTGTGGAAGTGTCTTTTCATTTCTACGTGTCTAACTTGCTGTGGCTTGAAGAATGAAGATGGCTTGCCGCTCTCTCGTTTTGCGCTATATTTAGTTGAAATGTATATATTTTTATATATTTATATACGATCAGTACGATTTATTATCGCATTCAAAATTGATGAACACATTAAAAACTGGCGTGTATGTATATATGAGATTGACAAACATCCGTTGGCTGTCGCGTTAGTCCCCTATATTTGATCGTGCGTATCTGTCCAATTATCTATGTCCCCTTCAACTTGATAAGTGCATTACATCTCACTGACGTTGCGCGTGACCAGAGTATTTCAACCGGTACTCTAACGTTAGATTTATAAATCTTACAAAAGTAAGTAATTTGTCTCCCTCTCTCTCTCTCTCTCTCTCTCTCTCTCTCTCTCTATAGCAAGATAATATAGTACCTTCTAGAAGGCAACAAATCTCTATTATGATATTACATATAGATTTTAAATTGCGACATTTTTGAACCTGATCTAATAGCGGGTGGTCAGTGCCTTTAAGGATTGTCACATCAATGCCACTGTTGACGGTGACCGTTATTAATAACGGTCACCGTCCTGATCAAAAGAAGTATGGGAATATTTCGTTAATAGCAATGTTTGTGTTTCATATTATCAGAAAAAAAAAAGCTGATATTCACGCTAACGCTTTTCTCATTAATCTCATTTGATCCCTGTTTGTGCACACACTTAATAATCGTGATAAACTTTGTTAGAGTATATCTGTTGTCGTTTATGTTCTACTTATCATAGATTTTCAATCGTCTCTTGATAATTGTAAATGAAGTACTTTTGGCAGACTATCAGATACGTCTTGTATAGATTAAGCATGTTCCATTCTTGAACTCCTTAGCGTCAGAAGGTTCTTTGCTGACCGTACAATTTCTTCTATTTTGTTCTACGCACTGTTGTAACAATGAACTGAACTTCGACGCCCTAAAAAGACCGGTGTAAGTTACGTTCTTGTAAATACACGTGTGTGACGTTTTTTTGTTCTTTTTTTTTTCCAGCGTACTTCACTATCTGAATGCGTACTAGCAGAACAAATGTAGCCTACGGGAGACAGCCTTTGAAACTGCTAAATGTCTGTTATTATCAAATAGGGTTGCGTAGCTTTTCAAATACTTTATATGTGTATATACATCTTAGTATGCGTTAATTTTATGGCTTGCAAATTAGGAGGCAAGAATTTCTCTTTTGGGCTACGTACCAAGAAATATCCTGCATGCAGGCAGGCAGGCAGGCAGGCAGGAATACGAAAAACAACAATAGTTTCTGTCGAAGCGGCTAACAAACTGGTTCAATAGGTATTTCCATTCGTCGTTTTCTGCGACGTCTTAAGTATATAGTGTCTTGTCGCACGGCATAATAATCGTTGCTTGAAAGTTATTTAAAATGTCGGACTCAAAGTAAGACGAACTTGGATCACGGGAAATCTCACATTGAGTCAATGGATATTCAAGAGTGGAAAGTGAGGTGACGGCTTAACTTAGCCAAAAATAATGTTAGCACACGATCATAAAGGAATCATAGCATAATTCTTAGGACTTAAGTTATTCGATGTTCTTGTAGATTTCATTGATACGTTGACGTGCGTTAGCACTTGATCGCACGTAGCAAATAGCATTAATTATCTATAAACGAGTTAGTAGTGAACGGAGTACTTTAACGAAACGTCTACGGATCGACCAGTTTAGCTGTATAATTATTAAGTATAATTATATCAAATAGCGTATAACGCAATTTCATGATGGAATTGTTTCGAAATAATTATGGCTATTTCGAATACTTGCGAATAATTTCGACAACCGAAACTATCCTGAACTGGCAAATTCACCTAACCCAACTAAGTAACCGTTTACCTAAAATTCGCATGTGATTAAAAAAAAACTACATAATCTGTGAAAAAGTTCTAACATGGCGCTCTTGAACACTTCGACACTTGTCTGAATGGAAAGGATTCTATCACCTGTGTCCGCTGTCATTTGTGTGTCTGTACGATTCGATGTGTTCTAGCTTCACACATTCTAAATATCTAGCTCGAAGCTATTCTATAGAGTTTGCCCTATATAAGGGTACGTTATTTCTTCTTTTGCCCCTTGCGTCAGTAGAGCTCACGTCGGTTCAAGTCATTTGATAGAAAGATTTGATCTGCTAATGAACTGCTGGATTCATTACAATGGAGCCAAACTCAATACCTATTGAATCCAATCACAAAGCTGACCAATCACAAAACAAATTTGAAAAGGGATTTTTTTGATCGAAGAGTAGCGAATACCCATCTATTAAATTCCCATTAAATTATAAGTTACCCTAACAGTCCTTCACAATCATCACACGCCTATCAGACGTACTTCGTCTTCGGTGTTTTGCCTGAACTAGCAAACCTTGTAGATAGACGATGCGTCTAGTGCAAATCCGTAAGTTAAACATCCGCAGGTGCGTTTAGTGATGTAGTTGACGTATCTTGACGAGCTATATTTTGCTTGGCTATACGTTTCGTACCAACGTGCAAATGGCGTTTGGTTTAAAGAACAGAAACACCGTGAATTTGACATGGTTGATGACCGCTGTAATGATTGCTTAATCGGCTATCTTCATTGGTTCCTGAGACGAATGTGCTTGGCAATTTGTATAGCTATCTTCGTTGAAGCTTTTGATTATACAGTTTCAGTTAATTTCCATCAAAATCCTGGTAATGGTGGGCAGGCTGGACGGTTGTTGTTTGGTGATACCTACGTGAGATTGCAGACAGAGCAAACAAATATGAAGCAGACACAATGTTTATAGCTTAGTCCTTTTTCCCGCACTCTGTTTAAAGATTTTTAAGCCCCAGTGTTTATTAGACGCTTCAACATGGCGTCCATGGAAAGCTGATACAACATTCTACAACACTACAACTACACCTGTGCCCGTGAATAACTTTGTATGATGTGGAACAATAGCTGATACCTTTAATATGGTAACAAAGGGCAGCTAAGCGCACATAGCTCAGCCTGTAAGGTCACTTCAAACATCTCACCCAGCCAAAGATTACATTAGGTACGCAAGTATACTTAGCTAATTGTGCGTAACTTTACCTTTTACGGCTAGCGTAATCGTTTCCGTCATAATTAAGTTGCGAAGAAGTAAACAAGCCACCAGGATGCGGCGAAGACACCACAATCTGTTCCGAAGATGAAATCTTCTTACTACGAAATTAATAATAGAGATCATCATTAATAAAAACATATGAGACGCTAAAAATTCTTTGCAAGAAATAAATCGCATAAGCGTGATACTGAACTGGATTAATTCCATCTTGTGGATGCGTTAAGCTATATATCTTAAGCTGCGACGCAAGTTCTTTCAATGTCAACACAATGGATATGAGATCGCATACGTGTCGACAGGAACTTACAAGTTCGCCGCCATTAGGCTTCAGCTAGTTTTCTATACTTATGAAATCTAGAATCTTGCCAGAGATTGCTGCTTCAGGTTCTGCCGACAACCTGTATAAGTAGAGAAAGGAAGTTATTTGAACAAACAGAAAATATTTTGCTATACCCGAGACATTTGAGCAGCGAGTTTTTGGTGGCAATGTGAAGACTCCATTCAGAGATACCAGGGTGACTTAAAGGCTTGTTTTTTCCGATGTAGATAGCCAGTAAAGCAACGGCCACCAAGCTGATGGCTGAATACCGCCACTCAACAAGAAACATAATAGTAACTTTGAGGATGACCTGTAATGCCAGTGAGACATAATTCTTAAGTTTGTAGTTCTAAAGATAACGGTGTTATACTACAAGATAGTAAAATTTGGTGCCGTAACGGTGATTTCTAAACAGGCTCCAAGAATTCGCAGACCTTCCTTGTAAAAGACCATTGTACTTACTCCAAGCAACGCAATCCATTTGTTGAACATACGAAAATACCACGTGTCCGGCTTCTTCGCTACTTCAGACAGCGGAGTTCGGGCCACTATAAGCAAAACAAATGATTTTCGTTATCACCAGGAGCAGCGATTCCAGTGTGTGATTGATCTACCTTAACCGTTAAACATACTAACCTATGGCATTTGTACGCATAGATGTGTTGTTATAGAGGCGCCAATATCGTTTGCCAACGACGTCCACTCGTGTCCGACTTGCCTTCGGTTCTTAATACTCCCTTCAATGTACCTAAGGACTATTCGTTCGTTCCGGTGCTAAGGATCTCACTATCAAACTACCAGAAGATCCCATTATAGCGACTAGCTTAACACAATGGTCGCCGTATTTTCACATATATTCGAATTTTGCCACTGTAGACAAAGCAAGATTATACCGGATATGCTATCGATCTCGATATCATAAAGGCTTACTTAAATATCACCTATTTACCTTCCAACGTAGTGGACTTATTCACTGTACGAGAAAATGATGACTACGAGGAGGATGTTAAAACGGCTTTGATAGAGAAAAAGAGAGGGGCATTGTTGAAGTAAAAATTGCCTTCATCGCTATATGCAGTCAGCTTCATAACAAGTCATCTATAGGGTACACTCAACGGTAAGTTGGCTGGCAACGCGACGAGCGCCTGGAAGTTTTTCAGTTGTATAACTTTCGAGCCACACCGTTTCAAAGTTGTGTTTCGTTTAAATTATCATTTGAGTTAAAAGACCGTTTACGAATCCTCTTTCCGCGAGCATATCTTCTAAAAGAAGTATTTTTCTTTAGAAAAAAAACCATTGCTTATCGTACGTGACAATCATACCATATTTAAAATTTTCCCATACGTCGCTTCAGAGCTATAGAATCAAAAAAGCCAATGCTTAGTATATACAGTTTTAGACTGAAGCATACAGGATATGCTCGGGACGTTAAAAGACACGTCCGTTGGTTATGAAATGAAACATTTATTTAAGGTCTAAGCAACCCAATCTGTTTCTAACTACAACGCAACCCAGCGGTGCTCTCCACTAACATTCTAAGAATTGTTACAGTTACCTGTAAAATTTATGCGTTTACCTTTCATCTTACGTACGTTATTACAATACGTTAGATGAAAAAAGTCACCTGAAATGCCTTACTAGAATACTATGCTTGTATTAAAAATTGTACAGTCGGAAAAGATTTTTAAAACGCTCTATCTTGTAAAATCGCGAATTTGTATACAACGTCGAGTCAGAAGGCTCAAAGCTAGTCGCCTAAAAATCTCTAGGTCAAACGGAGACATATGCCATTCAATGCATGTGCCATCATATGATGAAACATATTCGCTAGCATAACACCCTGTCCTATTCGTGGTGTTAGAAATTGATTTTTATATCATAGTACGGTCAGCGAATCCCACCCTAAGGGACGGTCCGGCTACCAGAGGAAATATGCATTCTGCTCCGTGCATTCTCAAAACTCCCTACGTTAAGCCGAGAATGAATAATGGACAAAAGGCTCAGACACCCAAAGCACAGCTCTAAATTTGGGTTGTCGTATCAGCAAAATGAACGAAAGTTTACTTACTTACGTTTTTTTTTTTATCCATTCTCTAAATTCTGCACCTCTTCGTTTACGGGCGGCAAAGATAGATTCTGCTTGCAGTCTAAAGCGTAGTTGATAGTCTGCATTCAAGGAAGATCTGTTCCCCACTAAGCCCAGAACTTTCATTCTAAGGATCAATGGAGGATCTGTGGAATGTTTTTGATTTCTTTAAAGAAGCACACAACTAAAAAGTGTGAACGTTCTGTATTATAATTGTTTAATAAAAGCTGACATTTCTCAGTACCGATTTCACGTGATGAGATTTGTGGCTCAATACACCTATATACATAAGGCACGAAACGACAGATTCTTTATACGTATTATACACACACACTTTGCTCACAACAAGAATTGCATGTTACGTATCATATACAATCACTGTAACCGAGTACTTATTACCACTCTACCGATGCCTACATGGTGAAGGTTGAAATCGTTCGTCGATGAAACGACCGAACTCGTATGCCCGAGTGAATGAACGCTGGAGTGTTTCGATTCAACTATAATTCGGCGTAGGTGTGCATGACTCGTGCTCTGCAGACCTGCTTCCAGCGGCATGGAAGCCCTAAGTGTTTCGAGTATTTACGTACCCTAAGACGATTAACGTCCCGCCACGAAGCTATATCCACGCCTGTATTCGAACCCAGATCCCCATGGCTCTTGCAAATTGTATCAGTGCAGCATGTCTACGCCATCACGAGGATAGCATGAAGACTTTACACAGCAGCCAGTTGAAGTACGCGCATACCACCATAGGTCTCCGAGCTACTTTATTAAATTTTGATTTGCAAATTCACATATAACAATAAATTGGTATGGCTCCAGAATATGTATTTCCTTGAAACTATGATACCTACTGCTAAATGGATCCGGGCACATGTTAAACCAATTAATCCCAGTCGGTTGTAATCGGTAATAAAGGAAAAAAATAAAAACCAAACAATCCAAGCGTTGTAAGCCAATGCACAATTTGTGTTCTAACGGACTTGAAAAAACTTCAATAAAAGCTTATGAAAATACATGAAGCTTCCTGTATGACCTTTGGTCATCAACTACTTTTGCCGTACCAAATCTATCCCCGAACAATAATCAACATTTTAGAACCGTCTTTAAGATCACAGACATGACTATGTATATATTGTATAATTTATTGGCAAAAAATTAAGCGTCCAGCTTTTTCTACCCGGGCGCTTACCTTTAGTTTCGTGTGTGATAAGAGCAGACGCCTCGTCATTGACGGATCGTAGCGAGGAGTGTCCAGGCGATGTAATTGGCGAAGAGGTCGAAGACGACGACGCTCGCGATTTCGTTCGTACGACCGTAACTCGTTCAGGAAACAGCCGCTCAAGATCGCCCGCCCCACTTCCGATACTGGCTGTATCAGCGCCCCTCACGCTTGCCTATAGTAAAGACTTGGATTTTAAACATCAGCCTCGCCAGCGATATAGCAACCCAACTTCCTATTTTATTTATATGGTTATAGAAGTCAGGCTGTAAATGATCTAAGAGAGATCAGGATGTCGTACAACCAGAGGTAATACTTAGTTTGTAGTGAAGTATAAGGAGAAGTAGTGGTCGCGGCAGGACCACGTCTAGGCTGAGCCCCATACTTAGCCTTTGAAATAGGCTTTGCTCTAATGGCGTTTTTCATATACATAAAACATATTCCAATGGCTGCAACAGTCTCGAATTGCCAAAACGTGTAAAAAATCTTATTTATAGAAGAAGTCTCCTACATAAACTGATTCAGCCAATCCATTTCCATAAGGAACGCAATAGCCACAAAAATTTATATTCGAAACGTAACGATGACACATTTGATGGTAATGTTCATTTTAAAGAAGGGCTAAATTTGTTTTTTACATAGCACCTCTCGATTTTATACGGTAGGCTAATTGCGTTAACAGAGGAATTGCGTTAATGTATTTCGACATCTTATGTTCTTAATACTTCATGTACAGATCGTTAAAAGTCATCACGTACTTCACCACCAGGCGGCTCGTAGTGATGAATAGGGCTTCCAGCCGTAGGCGTCGCTACTTCTGCTGCATATTGGCGATTCGAGGGCACCGTTGGTCGCTGATCAAGTTTCTCCCGACGTTCCTTCTGTGGACAAAAGACATTGGAAATATAATAGATACAACAGCTATCCATTTGCAGTTGTCAAATCGAGGATCATTTCTGCTTGAGAATACCTTTGTATTTGCTTATATTTTTAAGCTTGGGTTATATTTTATGCCCTTAAAGTTTCTTCGCGTTGTCCGACCTAATGGTCACCGATGCGAGTCACCTGAAAATATTTTACTGATAAATACTGTTGTTAATAATGTTACGGGGCGCTTCTTACAATGGAAGCCATCTGTAACTTCCATTACACCAGGTAAGTTAGAATGTGCCTTGACGTGCAAGATGCAGGACATGGTTTTGGATTGCATGTAAACGAGCTTCCATGTCGATTAGAATACTAAATAAGCTCTATTATTATTAATGGGCTTTCGTTATGAGATTTTTTCTGCCGTCCTGCTTATAGTCACAATGACTTGATCCCCATTTGTACTATTTAAATACGAACAGGCCGACGTCCGTATATATCGCTTAGTTTGAGTGAGTATTCTGCGGCCACTTATGTACTTCTAACAGCTATGATCTTAGGAGGCACCGTGAACTTATAGTACGACAAATATTTTCATCTTCAATAAATTATTTATGTCACAGTCTGCACGTAATTTCGCCTCAGCTGTGCATTACAGTTCTACTTGTGAACACTGCGCAAACGCTAATAAAAAATCGTGAAAGTAGGAATGTGTTTGAAGATGGTCAAACAGAACGAAACGCTACATAAGACACATTTGCGAAGTTAGGTTAGGTTAGGTTAGGTTAGGTTAGGTTAGGCGCTATTGGGTAAAAAGGAGACTATATTCCGTACGAAATGGTTAACGAAAAGAGTTATATTTATTTGTGCATAGATGGATAATATCAATGCATGTTTGCACGGTATGGTACATACTGAGCACTACGGAAGGGTGGACTAACCTGTCAAAAACAAACTATCGGTAATTCTTCTACCCCCTACCTCCATATATAACACAGAGATCATTTAGCACAGGGCGTATGCTAGTTTCTTATTATCAGTATGATACTATTGTGATACACTACCGTGATATTAGCTGACTGAGAACGACGGGAGGACATACAATTATACCACCTCGTCCATTAAGGATTATATGGTGCACCATAGCAAAGCTCGACTATGTATAGATTGTTTTCTAACACCTCACTGTGAGGGCAAGAAAAGAATATTAATAATGTCCACTGCAAAGTTGGGCACTACGCGACAAGCTGCGGTGGCCGTTTCCAGTGGCACGCACTCCGTTAACCATACGTGCGGCACGAGCACTACTGTTGCATGCTCATGTATTGTGCTTCGCAAATGAAAAAATATACTAACAAAACATGATGAAAGTTTAAGTGGGACATGATGATACACTGGACCTAATCTGGTGCCTTTTGTTGATTTGTGATAATTATGATTTCATGTTATTACAATAATTTAGTTTTTACAGAGACGTTAAACTGTTATTAAACTTAGTAGTTAAAGAGCCTCGTTTTTATATGAGGGTTAATCCTAAAACAAGAACATAGCATATTGAGTGCGTAGTAAATAGAGCTTGTAGGCATTTCACCTTCAAAATAAATATATTCATATATAACAGAAATTTGGCTCAAAATTCGTTACATCGCTCTAACGAGTAATTATATGTTACTTAGAAAGTGTTATTAGTGGATTTTTTGAGTTTTCCATTAATACATGGGTACGCCATGGCGAAAAACTACAGTGACATGATCTTCAGTATAAATATTGTCGCTCAATAGACGCTGTGAAACCGTGGAGACTCTTTTTCTACGGCAGCAAACCCAGCCTGCATGAGAACCAATGTACGTTTTAGAAAACAGATCAATACCGTTATAATAAAAACTATTTTCTGTGCCATGTACGGTATCGTCGACGATAGATTACATAGCCTCATTTCTTCCCTTTGATCGGCCAATAGAGATGCTCACTGGAGCAGAACCTGTCATAGAGTAAGCCTTTTTTCAGTTCGAGATCATTCTGAACGACCAGGATGTTTCAGCCGTTGGATCGATAGTAAATGTAGAGGATATAAGTTTTTTGTTTTATAAACCTGGGCAAGTTTCAATGGGCTTATGGCTAGCGTTACGTGTATCAAACAATTCACTTGTCATTACTTTGATCATTCGATTTGTCTACCGGAGTTCGTTAACTTAATTTCTACGTTAGGTTTACGCTTAGAATTAGAGGTTATTTCCTATTTAAGTAAGTATACATTTATTATATGTGACGGTTATTTTATGAACATAGCTCTGGAGACTTTTAACAGTTAACTACATCTTTAGACTTCTCTTTTTCTTAGAATTACACACTTTTCATTGTTTCGTTAAAACTGCATATTATATGTTCGGCACTTACCTGGATACGGTAGGTGACGGCCATATTAAAGTAGGCGTACTCAACCGAAGCGTAGGTCATAAGGAATGGAATGGTGACAATTGGAGCCAGCCCATTGATATCACCAGCAAGGACCAATCCCAATGTTACGAGAGAGAAAAGCAGCATTGCGCATGCCGGAACCTTGTTCGGACCTTTCTGTTCGTGTCATCGATACGGTTAAATATATATTAAGTATATACATAAAGCGATCGACAGCGGGGCTTAAAACGAGTCCTTCAGAAGTTCGTCCTTCAATAAATACCCTATTAACAAACTATGGTCACTAACTTAAAATATAAGCGTAATCCAAACTACTGACATGAAAGCCCAGTGAAACAACGAAATAGAAGTGTTTATTTACCAATGCACATACTGATTTTTCTGCAGGGCCTCTTACGTTGTATACGTGCTGCTGGCAGTTTGTTAAGTATTGTAGGTGACCTTTATTTTCCACCGAATTTACTGAATTAAAATAGGCTAGCATGAAGCTGTGCCAAGTACCAGGTTGTATAAACAGCGGATACAGACTAACCCCTTCGGCCAGATAGTGAGATCCAGGGAGGACACCATCAATAGCCATCCTCTGCAGAATGCGTGGGGTAGCGTACAGCGAACCAAGACTTGATGACATCGATGAAATGTATAAGCCACACAAGAGGATCACTCCGATCGCCGATACCTGGAGGACAAACAAAAAAAGGAGCGACAAACAACGCACCATTTCTACTGTCCATATTTATAATACAAACCTAGTTTGTTTCAGTGGTATTCGTAAGTACATGCAAAGCTGCAAGATATTAGGGAAGTCATGCAGCTCCATAGGGGTCGAAAGTTATACAATCCACTAGAAAATTTACAATATAACACCATGCGAAGTCTTCCGATGTCCGAGGAGCATACATTTATAAGGTGAGAACCTATCACAGCCTTTCAGCTCGCGTTGAGAATGCTTTTTTTTAATTAAATAACAGAGACCTTATAAGGAAAACACTTCAACTTCTTTGTGATAGCATATTGTCTTTTATAACACGAGTAAATAGTAACAAGTAATCCAAATTGGTACTTTTGTACTTAGCCTGTTTGTTCAAAAGTGACTACGAGTGCTAGTTAGCATTAGGATATTTTATTCCTTTAAGAAATCCCTGCCTAAAAATATCATAAGTTTACGATTATTTATTGAGGTACACTTTACGGGCAGTGTATAAAATCGTCTCGGAAGCATTCTTAATTAGTACTACAAGCTGAGACCAGCTTCATTGCGTGGAGAGGGAACGGAGACATTGCGATACGTGTGGGACGATCAGGACCAATATGCCACGAATCCACTGTTAGAATGGGTAATGATCTATAAGAATCTTAGTTAAGTATTTTACTCAAGATCTCAAAGTTGGAGCTGGGTAAGAACTTAGCCCATCAGCTATAACTACAGTCAAGCAGGCAGTGCGTACATCTTCAAACTTTATTTAGACGTTCGTATTTAGTCAAATCATTATTATCTTATGAATTGGTAGGGCATTGCGTTGAACGACACTGCTATGACCACAATGTGTTTGCTATATTTAGGCCACAAAATATATTTTCACCATACGCTTTACGTAGGGCCGCACCGAATGCGAACGTTCGATTCTACCGTGAACAAGAAGACTATCTAAATATCGCCTAAGCAGTAACATTAGGACCAAAAAATTATCTGTACAACATGCACTCTGATCTACGGTACCATCGCATACGACAGGCGATCTGAGATTAAACAATGGCTAATACCTTTTCAGCGATCATGTAGTTTTGCTGGAGCGCCCATCGTTCGCTTGTTGCCCCCAAGCCCAGAATAAAAGCAATGTAGATTAGCACCGAAATCCCGATAGCAGAAAAAGTTCCTGTTGGAATATTTTTGGCTGGCTGGAGTAGATCAGAGCTCATATTAATCCCAGCGCAGACTCCCGTCATGGCCGGAAAGAACACACCGAGGATAGTGAACCAGTTTTGTTTGGGCATATACGATGAGTGCCAATTTTCCGTAAATGTTGTCACATTCAAACCTGTTACTCCGCTTTCTGCAGAAGAAAAAATTATTTTCTTTATCCACATTTTGCCTATATATTTACGGTGTTTCTATTGGACTGATTTAGCTTCGATTCATTTTAGTGTTAACTCGTGCTCGGTCCACTCACCCATGTCTTTCTTGATGAACACGCCCACTCCGAAGTCCGACAGAGCGGCTAGTAGGACAACGAGCAGGACAAACTGAATCCGGACAACCCATTTGACTCCAGCTAGATTAATACCTGCAATCGGCGAGTCACTGATCTGTTAGCATGGCCTGCACTATGTACGAAATATAGTTTTGTATAGTTATATACTAAATAACTGCTATGGCGAAAGGAACTCGTTGCATAGTTTATCAACCGAGTACTTCGATACGCAGTAATCGCAATGAATCTACGATTTAGCCAGGTAGAATGCAAAATAGAAAACCCATTTCAGTAAGGCAATTAATCCATAGTGAATCTGGAGGCCAAAAATATTATGTACGTATTCAGCTATCAAAGGGAAGTGTGACATCCTCGTAATCAACTCTATGCCAAATAATCGCTAGGTCACCTAATTATGCAATATTCACAATAGAAATCTAACCTGGCGGCCTTGTACCAGCTTCTGGAGGCATCACCCGGGCCTCCAGAAAAATTAAACAAAAACAAAAAGCAGAATAAACCTAACTGCCACTATTACTGCGAGAACAATACAATAAACATGTTCGATCTCTATAAAAAGAACTCAGCGCGTTTTGTGGGAACTCAGCGCACTGACCAACAAATGCTTAGCGTGATCTACTTATTTACTACGAGATCGACGCAAAAGACCAATCTAACTATACGCATACATTGTGGCTCATTGCGCGTTAGGTATGATTGAATAAAAAAATATAATAGCCAAGATCCCTTGAACGCTGTGGGACTCTCACCTACAAAATCTCGATTATCGTAACCCTAAGTTTTTGTTACATTGGTTTTTCTAATTTTATATTTTAAGTAGGTTGACGGGTAATGTACTACGAAGATCAAGTGTCGTTGCTACTAAGGTAGTCGTCAAGTGCTGTGGGGCTATTTGCCTGTAGCTTCTGAGCCCGGTATGTTTGGGCCTTGCTTCAAACCTCTGAACTTCTATAATTACTTCGTTGGGAACAGATTTGTATGTGATCTTAGCTGGTGAGTTGAAAGCATTGAACACAAAAAGATAGCGACTGACAGAACTTTGGAAATCGTGCGTATAGAGATCGCCGTACAATTTCAATAGACAATATTGCGGCTGATGGTGGCGCGGTAATTCACTTACTTTAGGTCGTATTGCTATTATCGCGATCCTATGACCTAAGATACTATTATAAGGAAAAAATATGGTCGGCAACGGGACGTAGGTAATAGCACAGCATCAAAGCTTGTTATGCATATATTACCTAGATTTGACTGCAGTATTCTAGGCTGATACTTCTAAATAATACGAGTAGACTGGGCAAGCCAAACGGCGATTAGGACCAACTACTGTACCAAATAGAAAATCGACCCTGATGCCCTTATTTTGGTAGGCTGTCACTCATCAAATATATCTAGAACAGCTATGCTTAATTCGAGTTTGTCATCAATACGATTTGAAACAGGCTGATAGCTTTCAAAGGTCACGTGGTCAACAAAGTAAGTACAGGTCTTTTTTAAAAAAAAAAAAGACATAAATCTATAAATAAGAAAACCTACTGTGACCTTTTTGCGCGCAGGCACACACGCACCTTAGCTTTGGGGACGGCTCGTATATTATGCCATTTTAGATCGTGCCATTTTCCAGTCTCGTTGCTGCGTACACTACTATTCTTAAATAAGTATCGATGTGGAATTCTTCAGATCCTGATAAATATAGCACGTATTGAAACCAAATCCAACAAATATCATAGCTCTTAAATGTACTCACCAAGCAAAAACATCAGCGCCACAACGGCTATAGCTTTTTCAATGTAACTATCGTCGAACTTGAGAAGACCACACATTGATTCAGCGAACGCCATCAGGTGTAGGGCGCAACTTACCGCCTGTGAACCAACAACGGTTATAGTGTGCGCAAAAATATAATACAGAAGATAGGCATTTCGTATATTAACACTTGGGACTTTTCAAAATACAATACTATGCACAGTTTATCAGCGCGTGCTTTTCAGATCTCTTTAGACATATTGCAATGAACTATAGGTTACTTGATGTCTGAAATTTCTACCCATCTATGAACGATTTTGTTTATTGTTATGGTGCATTGGCTTTTGGTGACGCTAAAGCCCATTTCACATGTCTCATTGCACCTGAGACCAATGATTTGACAGCATTCTAAGAGCTGCACACTTTTAAATCCCATAACATTCTCAGATTTTCCGGTTTACGCTATATCTATGTACTCACTTATCTATGCTAGACACGGTCAAAAGGGTAAAGTATTTAATTCGTAATATTTCGCAAAAAAGCTCGTCATCAATAAAGCACCAGATCATCAACATATAAGCTTAGAATATAGATATAGCTGTTCATTTGTCTCGCTAAAGCTAGACTGTAAAGGACGTTACAGAATGCAATTCATGATCGTCGTCACGCGTGCAATCGTTTGCGTTTCAGCATGCATACACTAAGTCTCCGTGCTTAGTGTATGCATAGATATCTATATTGCTAAAGAAATTCTGCTAAGTAGTCCATATCTATTTAGTCGTCCTCTAAATCTATCGTGGGTTCTGAGTGGTACAAATGTGGCTCCTACAAAAAGCTCGATGAGGGAAGAAAAGCGGCTGTTTATTACATTCGCAAGGATGTGTTTGGCTCTCTTTTGGCGCCGTGCCCAATTCGACCGCGCATATAAGTTAACTTATATAAGCTTCCAAAGACGGAGACATGGAAAACATATTTAAAATTAATTTTGATTTTTTTTCCAAACAAGATTAAATGCGATCCAAATTTGGAAGGAAGTCTGGAGCGTTCACGGATCTAGTACTATAACTGGCGGCAGGAAGTGGTTTGCCTGTCTTTAAAGCGGTAGCTTGAGCGTCAGAGAAAGGACCACGTCGATTCTCTTTCTATGAGAAAGCCGAAGTTCCCATTGTGGTCGATTAGACTCTACAGACAGAAATCAGGCTCCACATCAACTGTTAAATGACGTCTAGCAAGCCACCACAACGTTAATTGGGCAGACGTCTGGATTCATCGTAAGCTGGTAGACTAGGAGATGATGAATCATGTTTGCTGATTTTCTAAAACGAGAACAGCTCTTCTCTTGCAAAGATGCCGACAAGAAATGAAAAATGAAAAATTTACAATAAATCCAGCCGGAACAGGTTGATTAAGTATTGTGAACGAGGTGATCGTTTAAGACTAATCATCCAAGAAACGCGTCCGCCTATAGCGAATAGAAACGAAGTTACGTTCAACCATGACAACGGTCTGTCTCACACATCTTTAGTGAGTCACTATAGAATAAGTGGATTGAAAAGCTGCTTGAAAGATGGGTAAGGCTCGTCGCTAACAACGGCCAATATGCCATTGAGGAAGCAAAAAAATGGCTTAAATTTTTTTGGAGCGAGCTCGCTAAACGATCCGATCGAATAATTTCTAGGCTTAGGGTTAAAAATAAGTGGACCTGATATTTAAGCAAAGTCTGCTTAAATCGTAACAATTGCCTTCGTAATAGGTGGGGCCAACTTTTCCAAATTGCAAATTTGCGCATTCTTCTAGTGAAAATTTAGGCGAACGGACGTTTCGAGTTTTGCGTGCGAAAATTTTGTAGAATAGACCGTAATTGAGTGCCTTTGTTTATTCTCTTTGTTTACACTAAATTTGCACCCCCCTTAATGGACACGTGGAGGAGACATATGCAGAGTAGAATGAGTCGTGACCAGCTGTATAACCATCCTGCGTCGCCGTATTTTGAAAGCTCTTTTTTGACCCGAGTGGGGCAACTCCTCATTCAGTCATCAAAAACAAAGGTGAATTAATGCTTGAGTCGTAAACCTTCTGGCTTGCCAATAAATTTGATAACTATGTCATAATCATGCTACTTTTCATATTTTAACATATTTTAAGCATAATAATATTCAATGCACCGTGGATGCCTATGATTTTCTCATTGTTGCTATTACCATGAGATTGAGATACACCCGGCGGCCGATCGAATTTTTTAGATTTCTAAGCATATCGTATTCGATATCTTGTACACGTACCTGTCCAAAACAATAGACTAAAGAGACGGCGCCTCCAAGCCTAGCACCAAGAATATGACTGAGGATATCATGTATCCCCCCAGTGTCTATATGACACCTTTGGGTGACGCCCACAGCAGCCAGTAAGGCGATTCCGCAAACCAAAGCCGTAAGTGCTACAATTAGAAGAGATAATTGGATGCCCGCGTTACCCTGAAAACAACGTAGTGTAAATACGCTAATCGTAACACCGGAGTATAGCAGACATTTTTTATGTCGTCGCTCTTCCGTAGATTATCCAAATCTATTTTTGGCCTTACTGCATACTCTCCTAACTGTAAAATCGCTTTACAATGACTTACAAAATAACTAAGTCAGCTCCGAGAAACTACTTCACCATGATCAGAACGTTAGTATCAGAAACCGCCGGAAACTATTAGTTATAGGTGTACAATAACGACAAAAATAAAGGTGGGCCACTGAAAATTTGCCCGATACCATGGCTTTTGACCGACGCGTTTCTCATTCAAATTCCAACAATATTATTCTAGATATTTATTCAAATATATTTAATATTTGATCGAATTTTAGTGAATGACTATCTAGATAGGGCAACGCAAGTCGGTAATTTACCTAGGTCCTACCGCAGGGTCAAAATGTAGGTAAATCAATCATTTCAATTGACTGGGTTTATCTCTACCATTCCAGCTATGTTTTTTATATATAGGTACTTGTGAAAAGCAAATAAATGACAAAAGAAATTAGCGATATTCAAGTTTATGTATAACACCTGCAGGTTTAAGGAGCCAGCACAGCGGAACCCATTTTTCGAGCTATTACAAACAATCTATTGTACTTGGACTCAGGCCTTGCAATACGCATCTAGCCACAATCATATATATCAATACTTGTGCCATTTGTAACATGTTACGTAGATCATATATAACGCGTTGACCGATACTATCGTTTGTATTTCCTCTATCCTCAATTGTACTTTAACTGCATAAAACGAACGCTTTTAGAGATCGCCAACAAATGTCATCATTGTATACGTTTGATCAATATATCAGGCGCTAAATTTTATTATAGATTATGCCGTTGGATTAAGGCTTCTAGTAAAGAAGGAAGCCAGCTGCTGCGGTGCCCAGTTCATAGATATCTGTTTTTGTACATGCTCTTCGGCAGTGAGATCCAGAGATTCATTAGGTGTGTTGCAATCGCACCCGATCCGAGTATTCCTATCGATAAAGGCCAAACTTAGGGATAATTGTGCCGTAAGACTATCCAACCAAATCAGAAAAAGTCTAGCTTTTCGTGTCTGGCATAGCTATGTATTGGTAAACAAATATTGTTTTTTTTTGTCTATAAATCAGTAAAAAAAAACTTGATAACAAAAAATAATACTATGATAGAATTGGTTTACTTGAATTATGTGTTAATATAAGTCATAGCGGTATGTTCGTAAGCATGTATCTTCTTGAATTGTATAATACTTACAACGATCCATCCGGCCCGAAGGAAGACAATAGCTCCGACCAAATGGATAAGACAGGTTGTGAATACACCGTCCCAGGTGCCGAAAAAAACGGGCTGAGATAGCAAAAGTTGGGTTAACCACCATGCATGATCCGTTCGTTCACCCTAAAAGAAGGACAATTGATTAAACATGAGAAGATTTAAAAAATAAGAATGACTGGCAGGTCTGTGGCCTTTAGGATGAGCTAGGACCCAGATAATCAGTTATCTAAGCAAACAACGTTGCTTCGTTAAAAGTATAGCACCAAGTACCGTTTCTCAACAATGAAGAAGGCAACGAAAAACTCTACCTATATAGCTAGGAAGGCACATGAGTCTTTAACGCAGCTTTTGTTCTGTGTTTCAGGACAACAAAAAAAATGCGATGACATTCCCCCTGATAGCTGTATTCAATTACTGTTAGAAGAGTGCTACTAACTATTGGCACGTCTTTTTGGTACCCGTTTATTAAATTAAAACTTGAAGAATAGGCAACTTCGTTGCTCCTCAGTCTTGAAAGTAACGTAGCGTTAATATGTCTTTTACCACAAGGTAAAATCCAGCCCAAATCTTCCTCTAGTAAAAGATAAAGCCAGCTGATTGATATTGAGCTTTTATAAACGTTCGATATTCACAGCGAGGTAGGTGCGGTAAAAGTTCTTTTTGCTCTGCACTTTTGCTCACTCAATTTCAATCTTTTACTAAAGATTCGTTGCATTTTTAAAATTCATCGCTCAGATCCAGTCAGATTTACGTAGAGCGTTGGTAATGGCGCTGCGAGAATGTTCGCCGCAAATATGAGAATTTTCCATATATGCATGTAGCTTGTCTAGTACGATGAGACATTTATTAGTTGTGCTTATAGGACCACTATAAACGACTATAGCTGCTACGGATAGCATCTTTAAGTCATTCCCTTGCTTCACTAAGGTTGTCAGTGAGTACTTATTGATATTCGGTCATTTCTATTAGTTAGTTAATACTGTATTGATACCTTGAAATAAAAATCTGTTCAAAGAAGGCAAAGGTAGCATGCCCACGATCTCTTTATTCAGTCCTTCGTGCGAAAAACTAATGTGCATTGAATGTTTAAATGCTTAGATACTGGCTGCTGTTCGTCGCTATTTCTGCCAAAATTATCTATGAAATTTTTCTTCTAGCGGCAGGAAAGGTTCGCTGGCAGAAGGGCAAAGCACTTCATCAATAACTAATAGGATCGAACAAGGAAATTCCGGCAACAGCCGATGCGTCTTCGTAATTTAGGCAGCGAGCACCTAACAAAGAGTCTACCTAACGTCGACGACCTTTTTATACCTCTCTAAGTAAACAGCGCCAGCAATCCTGCTTTTGATTCGCACGTCTCCACCAATATTTTTCGTCGTAGCCGCTAGTCGCAGATTCACTTGTTTTTGTTTTGTTATATGCTTTAAATCGAAACAATCAGAAATTTCATTCGTGATTATAAGCAGGAATTCAGACAAATTACCCCATCGACGCGGTCAAGAATATTTGTAAAAGTTAAAGAAAAAAGAATCTTACTTTGTAAAAGTTTATTAAAATTGTCACTCTGAGGGTACTGTAATTTGTCGACTGCCAGGAACTATGCTAAAGCTGAAAATACTCATATACGAACACCATAAATAATATGTGTTAAACACAACACGTTTCCAAATCTTATGTGGAAATACATTGCAGAAAGCATTCCAGTTTCAGAACGCTCGACAGAATTTTGTGGAGATGAACTTGAAGACCTCATCTCAGATCAGGAGTAACTTTTTTTTTTAGCTATGACGCTAAATGGGACAGATTTTTCTAGAAATTAGCGAAATTATGTATTAAATTTCCTTACGTCGAGCTCACACATGTTTTGATACCTTAAAATATTCATGGATTAACAACAGATGCAGTTCATGCGTGGCTCACTATTAATCATCTTTAAATAAAGCGCCTGTGTCTGCATTCGCGATAGATAACAGCTTTACGTATTGCCAATTGAAGGCTAAGGACACCGGCGACTTTTATCAACTCTTCTTGAAGAACGACGTTAACTGAATCTGCTATAACGCTTTCTCGTACTTTGCCAAAAATTCTTGAGAGGAACTTTTCAGCGCCTGAACCTTACCGTTTTTTCGCACATATTTCAGATCACACCCTATGTGACTGCTGGAAGAGCTCTAAAGGTAGGTGGAGCTTCTGTAGACTAAAAAAGACACAGTGCATATGAATAGGGAATCACAAGGCTTTTGAAAATCTATTCTAGAAACACTGGCTTTTATGCAGAGTAGTCTCGAGTGTGGCTGAAGCGCTATCATCAGCCGGTCGTGCATAAGTCGCACGTTCGAACACGGACATGATCGAAAACGATTATTACCAAAATGCTGCCATATGCCGACAATGTAATTTCTCCGAAGAGAAGTCCATACGTTGCTTCATATAGCGACAAGATCGAGTGCATTCACCTGATAACTTTCGTAATAGCGAAGCCTAAAGGACTACAGCAGGAAGCTATAAGACGAGGTTAAGGGACCAAAAACCTTGGTTTTTACTCAGAGTAAACGCATGTTAGCTTAGGGACGCTCGTTGACTCGATGCTACACAGGTTTTGCTTTCTAGTTTTTTTAACGCGTACGTCTCACATCGTCCGCGTCAACGGCCTGTCATTGATCGCTTATGAAATATTGTATAATTCCGACTCTCGAATGTTATGAAAGGCGTCGTCGACATATACGCTAGTTTCTTTTTCCGATGTCGGATAAGAGTATGCTTTCTGAGGTGTCTTTATGAAGCTTCAAATGAGATTTCGTGCTTGATTCAACATTTTCCTGATATAGGTATGTTGAATTCGAATTGATAGCCATCGTTGTCATGCCCTTTGACACTAGACCATGTTGTAGAAGAAAGGTCGTGCAGCACGTTCATTGTCTTGCTAAACAGATACAGTTGTCCCGAACAAACATCCAGATGATTGATATAAAGCAGAGCTTTTGCACGTCCTTTTAAAATGTCTTCTTCTGTTTAGAACAGTAGTATTTCATAGCAGTATGGGAGAATCGAAAGATGGGGGTATCCGCTAGATAGAGAACCTTTTGGGTTTCAATATCCTTCAAGTAAAGTTCGATAGTGTACGAATCGTCTGGCTGGAAAAGATTCGGCTGCCTTTCGTTCATCGGCTTCGGGTTTGGAGCCGATGGTAGTTTGCCAATTCACTACCTCTATCTATGAATCTATCATACTTTGGGCTAAGTTTCGGTAAACCTGTACTTTATCTTTTCAGCAGAAAATCTCTATTTGAATACACTAACGATGATTTAGCGCTAACACGTCCGATAATTAAATTACAAGTAAAGAACAACTCTTTATTAAGAGAAAGGCTGTGCCCAACAACAGTGCGTCGTCATCTATGTCTCCTGACGTGTGTGCCCATGGAACTGTACTATTTGATTGTATATGTTTAGCGTCCTCTACCCTATCCAACATATGGTCACTGACAAGCTCTTTGTTGATCCTTATGGGCAAACAACGACGACATCAGCATCCAAAGCCAAACTCATTTTCCAGAGCTATCTAAAGTTAGCAACAATTCCCCTACTTCGGTTGGTCCACTTTCTACTTTGATTTCTCTACTTTGTTTAGAGACAACCTCTCACAGGGTGGTGTTGCTTTTTCAAGCTGCTCACAGATAGCGTTAACGCCTTGACGAAACGCGGGAGGCAGGCGACCATCCCTTTTTGCTGAAGAAGCACATTTTGCTTATTACAAAACTTGCACGATTATGTATATATGTTGCAAACTTTATATATATATATATATATATATATATATATAAGTAACAATAATGGTTATAATTAAGAGAAAATTATATTGGAGGGTTACTATCGGTATATTAGGCATTCTGGTTGTTTTTGGTTATGGAAGAATTGTAGAATTGACTATAAAATATTATTGCATTATTTGAACATTTTATATAAAGTTGTTACGGCTTAAAGTAAGGCGGTAAGTAAAAGGCGGTAAAAGCTTATAATTGCAGTAATTAGCATAAATGCAACGTAGAGTACAATACAATTTTCTCTTTTATCCCAGTGTTCTTTAAGTGTCTCTCATTTCTTCAAGTTCTCAGTTCTTCAAGTGTCGATTCCGACCTGTATCTGACGAAGTTGTTAATCTAGATGTTAATAAGCTTTTCAACTCAATGCTAAATTTAGAGACTTACATTATCTTCATTGAAGAGTTCGTTGTGGCTGGACGCATCGTCCGGTCGTAGGGGAAGTTGGCTTGGAGCCTTTTCTTCTACACATTCACTTTTGTCTACGGTCTGATATCCTCCCGCCTTAGAGCTTGTTTCGTCGGCTCCACACAATCCTGACGCTTCGGAAATACCTGATGCACCCGCCATATTCAAGCCTCAATTCTAGAGTGGACAAAAGGACGTTTGTAGGCCCGAACGTAATTAGTTATTTATCGCCGGCTTTTTAGCTTGTGACGATGGTATATTTGACGTGATGTTTAAATTTGTATATTCTCATCCCGTGTGCGCTTCGTATAGATTTTTCGCTGCTTCAGTAAACTTCCTCTTAGAGATGTAACTTTCTGTACAAGTTTTGCGCCATGTGCTTATAAAGGAGAGTTAATTGGCGTAATATGTTTCGTGTCTAAGCTTCAAGATGTGTTGATCTGTCACGTGCGTGCCACTAAGCTACTGTAACGCCACCTCTCGATCTGGAAAAACAAATAAACAATAATTATATTAGGAAAGAACAGCATAACGAATCCATATATATTTTTAATCGTTCATTATTTGTCCTTCACAAAGTGGAAAACCTACAGTGTGACAAAGATAAGGCCTGAGTTGAGCAAGGTGACACCCGAATCCATACTAGTAATCTGCATAGTGACATTCAAACGTTTTGAATTTCATTCAATTATGCTGTAATGTTTTTAACACAGTGAGATAAGTGTTTATCCACGGCGTTTTATTGTTTTCCATATTTCTACTAACATACAATGAGGTAGGCCGTAACATAGGCTCCGAGAATCTTCAAGCACAACATTACGGCGTATCGTATTGGAGCCGTTTACATTCTTCGATTAACTTTTCCACAGAATAGAGATCCAGGTATTCGAAGGCCTAGCCGTCAGCTTAGAAGAATTTTTAAAGCGGAAGATGAAGTAGCAAGTTCTCACGTGTCCTTATGGACATATGCTATAAATCTGGGAAGGGTGCTTTATGCGATACTTACGGTAACCACTCATCGCTACCAATAAAATTCGACATACGGTTTTGGCCGTATTATCACACGTATTTTACCGAGCTATGTTTATACCTATATGCTACATTTTATATTGTATAAATATGTGTAAACTCCTGAGCTTATAGCTACTCCTGTTCATTTAGTATTCGCCCACAGTTCCAGTGAGAAGGGCATGTGCCCTTAATAAAACGAAATTAAACAGTAATTTTATCCAATTTTAGTCCTCTTTCTGGCGCAGGCCACTTTCCATTAGCGTTTTTGAGTGCGTCGTTGTGCGTTTGGGCTAATTTATGTTGAAAGAATTGGGTAAGCAGGGGTAATTTTACAATAAGTTTCATTTGTTTCACTTTTTAAGGAAGCGGTGCGTGTATCTTTATGGGCGTAGTAGCATCACAATAATTTGAGGTAGCGTTCGACTTATTTGAAAATTATTACGCTTTTCGTCATTGTAGTCTTATGGCAACTCATAGGCTATATAGATTGTATATATATAGGTTGTACCCTGATGAATCAGAAGGTTGAACCATATATTCGAATTTTTTTTTTATCAAAGAAGAAACAGGTCTACTTGTTAACGTTTTAGCGATGATATTTTATTCGCATCTGTGGACTTTTGTTGGTTTCCCTAACAAAGCAAGCTTTATTATTATAGAGTAAGAAATTACCTAAAACTACATTTTCTAAAATTCTAATGTAAGAGTAAATTATAACCGTTATAACTTTGCAGTCTAGTGAGGTATTTAGTGGAGAAACGCTTGACGGATTCTATTGAGTTGCTATTGGTATTGGTTACTTGTCGCTGGCTAAGTAGGTGGCCAATAATCGATCACGCCGCGCCTGTTTTGTGCTTTTCTCAGCCAGCAGGCTGTCTGCTGTTTTCCTTACTGTCGTCATTGCCACGTGTTTTAAATCATATCGTTATCGTCACTTAACGAGCGAATTCCCTTGATCGGTCAGGAATCGGAGTCAGTCAATCCCATCATCCTGCCAGATCCTCGCATTTGCCGTCTTCCGCTTGTTTTACAGCTCCTGCCCGTTTTGTAAGCGGTCATTCGCACCTTCCCAAAGGCCCGCTAAAGGAATAAGCAAAAATATGGCTTTCCGCGCAAAAGGAAGCTTATATCCCTTACTAAGTAAATTTCTCACTAGTTGTGTAGTACAATGTAATTTGTGGACTTCGTCCCGTGCATATTTTGCATGGCGAGTATTGCAAAGGCAACGAAGTGCTTTTATGATGCTTTGTCTGCTAATCGATTCGACAATCCTTTCTCATAGACAAACTTTTCCGAAGCTCCGAAAAACGACATCAGCCATAGAGTGGCTCACATTATAGACAGATGGACGGCAAGATCTAGTACTATACGCGCAGGCTTTATCCAGGTCCCGCTTTATCCGTACGACTACTCGGTCTTCGTGATAAAATCGACGAGGTGAACCCACAAACTTTTGCTCACAATAACCCATGTTTCTTTGCCAATCCTGTCCCAAATGATGGCAGCCTAACAGCTGCGACAAGTTGGTGTCTTCAGCGATTTTACAGCATATTTCAGCTACCATATCCTAAAATGCTCCACCTATCGTTCTGCACAAAGAAAACGAAATCAACATACACAAAAGGGTATCTATATAAAAAACAAAAAAAAAAGTCAGTTTTAACAGTTTTGTTCAAATTGGAATTGATTTATTTTGCGTTGTAACTTCCCATATTACACCCGTATACCATATATTAGTAAAGACTCTAGCTGTTTGTTGCGTGTGTATGTGAATCTGACTATATATACATCGTTTCGTGGGCCGAGTGAAAATCAAACGTAGAATTTCTTGGTTAGCACTTAAAAGCTATTTTTAGGCTTACGCAACAGGCCTATTACAGAGTAATTACGTTTTTCATTTAACTTTAAGTGGAGATAACTATTGGAAAAAACTGGTCCGGCTAACTGAAGTAATTTATTCGCTTTTCGCGGTTTTCCTCTGCCATTTAGACAATAACCCGGGTTCTCGGCTATTTATCTATAAAAATGACAGACACACTTTGGCCTCTTATATTAAACCGGTAGAACTATAGGTCGCGTTGCAGGTATACGAACATTCGTGTTACGATAGGATAAGCCCTGAGCTACACGTCGAGCCTGAAAGAGCTTCCGTCTAATGTCTTTTTCATGTTTCCGTAGTTCAGAGCAATGCGTCGTTTTCAGATAGCATCGCAGGCACTGATATTACTAGTGGTAAAATTTATTAGAAATGTTGTTGAAAAATATATTTATTTTTAATTCCCGGTACCTCGTTATGCGTAAATGCGGTAATATGTACACGGTAAAGTGGTTGGTAATACTATTACCCAGTTCATTTAGGGCACGTTTCATTATTGCCTCTAATGCATTACCTGATAAAGGTAGGCTATATATGGCAGTGGTGTGACTAAATGGATGTTGGCGTAGAGAGCTTTGAAGGTGACTGAGTCTCAAACAACGTAATATATAGCAGTGGTTGTGATGAGGTTCTAAAGCTTAAGAGTGTTAACATTTTGGCTAACTCTATCATGTATTACGCATTACCCTCAAAACCTCCTCAACAACCGTTGTCTACGCTGTACATCTCTCAGACAAAATGTAAACACCGCAGACGAATGCGAAGCATTTCATAAAAAGGAATTTTCCAAGTTTTAAGTTAAACTGTTAAGTAAAATATACAGGTAGCGAGAGTTCAAACCTTCCGAAATCATTTTCTAACGAATATAATAAATTTTTAGCCCCATTAAAAGGCAGTCTCTAAACGACTAGGAAACTTCAGGGCTGTGCATGACGCAGTACACGGTTTTTTACTAAATAGAAATTGTTTCTACTAAAGTATTTTGGAAAGATGAGAAGGCATTTTAATTACAGTAAAAAAAAGCAAATTTTTCATAGGCGAAAACGGCATGAGTTTATGAAACGTGTAAGCATCACTTAGTGATGGTCTACATTATCTTACTTATCATACGATCGGGGAAAAAAAGCATCGAGAGTTTAGTCCATGCTGAATACACGTGTTGAATCACCTCAGTCGTCGGTTTTGAAGTAACGTTGGTGGGGTTTTACACGCGTGTCTCACAGGATTTCAAACTCACTTTGGCTCTGGACATGACATAGAGCCTTTAGCACTGTCTGTGTGTTCTTCTAAAAAATGAAATACTATTAAATATAATTTGTTCGAAGGCATCTGCTTACTTTCAAATGTTCTGAGATTTGACCTATGGATAACTGGCACATAGGCGAATACGGTACAACAAGTTCAAGCAGGGGCAAATCTTTAGCTGACAAAGTCCGGAGCTTTTATTGATCCTTTTTAGCCCTCAAAATATTAATTTAGATTTACTTTCTCGTATCAAAAAACAGTTTACTGGACCAAGGAAGGGTACCAATCGGAAGAGTTAATTACCGTTTTTGATAACCGTCCGCACTTCAATAGTAGAGATTTCGAGCTTCAAATTACTCTATTGACAGAAAAATCATATCTAGTTATCTGACAATCAATCTTCGAAAGACGTGTTATAATACATAAACACTGAATATCCTGGCTGATTTCGGGGTAAGCAAGTTAGGGTACTCTGAAAACCAGCGACAAAGACCGTTTTGAAGTTATCGATGGTTGCCTATTAGTACCTTGGCACCTATTTTCGTATTTAGATAACCCAATTATCTAACCCAGGATGGGTCTAGCACCGCCTTGAGAAAGCAAAGCTATTGGTAGATGCATCGGCAGTTGTCACGATTTATTGTTTGTAACAACGGATGTTGTTGGCTCTTCTTTGCTTTGGATAGACTTCCCATTAGATTAACATACAATCTAACTATGTAATTTTGTTTGAGTAGCTGCATTTGATCAAGATTGATTTTCAAGATTATTTGCAGCATTGACTACAGGCTGCGGTGCGTAATTTCAGTCCAGTCTACGATGTCTACATGATGCTGAATATAAAATACATCGAATTAGAATGATATGCAGCTGCGGGACCTGGCGCATGATTTGCTCTTTGAGACGTCCCAGTACGTAAGGAAAAATTATAGAAATATATATCTAAATATACCGAAATCGGCTTAGGCTTCTAGTATATCTAGAAAACAAATGTCCGTAATTAGTTTTACTGCAATTAAATACTGAATTATTATCGGAGCACCTACATGTGTCTTTAAACATGTAAAAGCTTGGTTCTTTTGAAGGCCTTTGACGTGATCGATGCGCGACAAAGCGACTGACAATATGTCTCTGTAGCCACCTTATGCTTTTTCATTGATCTTTATCGCACCTAAAGCAAAGAAATATCCATCGACCTCCGCAAATGTTTGCTCCCAGCTTCGAAAGTTGATCTTCAGGGCTTTCGTATCTGAAAGCTCAGAGCGACGGCGTAGGTTTCCGTGCAATGGCGGCTTGGGGATATGCGAGGCAATTTCGGATCGTTATGTGTTGTCCTGGTGCTTTTTGAGAAAA